TGAGAAGGTATGGTTGGCCTTCCTAACTGCCTCCCCACACTGCCGGCCCATGTTCATCTTGGCATCAACGATGACTCCAAGATCCTTTTCTGCCTCTGTGTTGTCTAGGGTGGAGAAGGGAGTTCCCCAGCCTGTAGGTATGGTGTCGGTTGTTCCTCCCCAGGTGCATCATCTTGCACTTGTCGGTGTTGAATCCCATCCTATTCTCATCCGCCCACCCCTGTAACCTGTCTAGGTCTGATTGCAGCCTATTTCTCGCTTCTAGCATGCCCACATCCCCCCACATCTTAGTGTCATCAGTAAATTTGAACAGGGTCCAAGTTTTACCCCCTCGTCCAAGTCACTGATGAAGATGTTGAACAGTGCGGGCCCAAGGACCAAGCCCTGGAGCGCCCCACTGTCCACATCCCTCCAAGTTGAAAATGACCCATCTGCTACCACTCTCTGGCTGCAGCCCTCCAGCCAGTTGGTGACCCATTTGACTGTGTGGGTGTCGACACCACAGTCCCCCAGTTTCTTAATAAGAACAGGGTGAGAGACAGTGTTGAAGGCCTTCTGAAAGTCCAGAAAGACTAGGTCCACTGCTACCCCTGCATCTAAGGATTTGGTGACCTGTCATAGAAGGCCACGAGGTTGTTCTGACAGGACCTGCCTCTAATGAACCCGTGTTGGTTGCCCCTAAGCATAATCTCCCCTGCTGGCCCCTCGTGGACATGTGCCAGAATAATTCTCTCAAAAAGCTTACCCAGGATCAAGGTAAGACTAACTTGCCTATGGTTTCCCGGGTCCTCTTCCTCCCCTTTTTGAAGATAGGAACCACATTGGCCCTCTTCCTGTCCTCTGGCACCACACCAGAGCACCATGAGTGCTCGTAAAGCCATGCCAGGGGTCCCACAATGAGCTCAGCTAATTCCCTCAGCACTCTGGGGTGGAGATTGTCCGGACCAGCTGATTTGAATACATCCAATCCCTCCAGAAGTTCCCTGACTACTTCCTCACTAACCCTTGGCCTAGGTGCGCCTCCCCTGGGGTTTAAGGGGGGCCCAGAGGGGGGTGGCTGTTCTGGCCCCTGCTCAGGAAAATGGAGGCAAAGAAATTGTTAAATATATTAGCTTTGTCATCTGGTGTGACGACCAAATTTCCTTGCAGGGGCCCCACATTACCTGGTACCTTCTTTTTGCCCCCTGTGTATTTAAAAAAGGACTTCTTGTTGTCCTTGATCTGGAAAGCTAGTCCCAGTTCCATCTCTGCCTTGGCCTTCCTGACTGGCCCCCTGCATGCCTGAGCAACCGCAGTATAATCCTCCCTGGTGATGGCCCCTGCCTTCCATTGGGTGTATGCCTCCCTTTTAGCTCTTAACTGAGACAGGATGATGGTCTTCAAAACAATTCAATCACAAGCTGTTGTGTTCAAAATTCTTTTACGCAAGAAGGAAAATTTCCCTCTGGTGTGGAAATGATTGGGTGAATTTGTATCACCTGTTTCACACTGGAAGTCAGGCTGCAGATGATCTCTACAGTACCTAATTATTTTTTAAGGGGCGTTAAAATCTTCGGACTAGGTTTTAAGTGCTCATGAGTTTAATGTTGTTTTCTGGACTTAATTTCCAAGCAGAAGATCTGCATATTTCTTATGCCTATGCCTTGATCATTTGATCTCTGGCCTAATAAATTTCCACTCCTTTTCTTTGGCCTGTCAACACATCTGTTTAAGAGAGCCTTGTTTTAGCCACTTAGAATATTTCCATCCTCCATTTCCTCTTTTTTGTGATTTAGCATGTTGCCTTTGCAGCATTCTGGGAAGCCAAAAAAATCTATTGCTTGCATTGTTCGTCACAAAAAATAAAATACAAATACAGCCCTGCTGTCTGAAGCAGACAGCACAGCACAGAGGTAGAAAGCATGCTGAGATGCTGGGGGACTGTTATTTAACTTGAACCAGGAAGGGGTCTGGGAGAGAAGCGTCATAACTGACTTGGGTCAAACCAGTGCAAGTCATACTACATTCAATCTGATTTATTTTAAACCAGTTACAGCCATTTTGAAACTGGTTTATGTGCACTAAACTTCTGTTCTGTTACAGGTTTAGACCAGTTTCTGATGACCTAATCCGTTTTATGTGTAACTTCTGTCCCTAGCCTGTGTAGTTGAAATGGTCTGTTTCCTATCTAGTTGTAAAAGTGAAAGCTTTTGGATTGATGAATCTGTATAAAGTATATTAAGTTAGCTTGTTTTTATAGTCAAACTAATACGGGGTGGATCCAGGATTTCTGAAAGGGGTGCAGGAGCAGTAATCCACACTACAGGGGTGGTTGCACCCCCTACTCCCTCAGGCCTCCTCCACCTCCATCATTGCGGGCACACTTTAAGTTCCTAAAGCAAATGAAAAATCCCACCCCCCCTTCCTGCTCAGAGGCACACCCTCCCCCCCTCCCAAAACTCTCCTGCCTGCCACTGTTGTTTTCTACATTGCTTGAGGGCGGGGAGGCTCCAGAACCATCTGGGCAGAGTGGGGACTTGGCTCAACTGAGGAGGGGACAGCAGCAGCAATCTGATGGGAGAGTAGTTCCTCCCCACCTTCCTGGTCACAGGGCAGGGAAGGGAGCCCCTGGGCATCCCTGCTGTCACTGTTCACATCCCCAGCTGAGCCTAGCCCCAGCTGTGGTGCTTCTCCACCCCAGGACAATGGGGAAAGGTAGGTAGAGAAGGGCCCAGGAAGGGAGTATGCCTTTGAACAGGAAGGGAAAGGGAGGCAGGATTTGTCTGAGCTTATAAAATATTTGTCCTTTTTTAAGAAATACAAACAAGAGTTTTCTCATCCTGGTCATTCTAGAAGTATTTTAATTATCAAGCCATTTTTCTAATTGTTCATACTATCCTTAGGAATCTAACCAAATTTCTTTTTCTTGGCCTTACAAATAAGATGCAGGAATAGCCACAATTCCCAGCTGGTGAATTGTATCAGCATTCTAGCGTTGCATTGGGCCAATGCGTAGGAAGTTATCTTCTATAAATTTTTAATGTCATTATTTGTATTAGGGTACAAGCAAGAGTTTCCCTTGTGGTTCTGAACACTTGCCCTACCTCTTGGGAAGCAAAAATGGTGTTGAAGCTCGACCTGTGTTCCGGAAGGAGGGGATGAATCTAACAGCAGTTACTGTGAGCGTGGAAAATGAACATACTGTGGCATTTCTAGGAACTTCAGATGGCAGAATACTTAAGGTAATGGTTCTCACCTTTAAAATGTTGCAAGTTGTAGTAATAATGTTCTGTATGTTCTAAAAATAAACTCCTAAAAGCAAGGCTCTGAGCAAAGAATCTTTGTACCTGCAATTGCTATCTTCAAAAAGGAGTAGCATAGGCCTTTTCTGGTTTACTTCAGCTTCTCCAATATGCTCCTTGACTTTGCATTCCCAAATGATGCTTTGCACAGATGTATCTAACTATAAAAAGCTCCGCACTAACAATTGCCAGTGACAACTATTTGGCATCAGAAAGGTCATATGCAAATAGCAAATTAATTCAACCTACCAAAAAAAACCCAATACAGAACAGCCCGTTTACCTCAGGAAGATGCATTTGCCTTTACCATAATACTTAGCGTTTTCCAGCATGACCAGGTTTTGGATATTTTGGGTTGACTTAATTCAAAAAGCCTGAGCCAGGGCAAAAAATAATGTGCCTGCTTTGTTTTTAATTATGTTTCATCTGATCATAGCAGAGTGCTTTAGTGATATCTCGATGCAAGGCATGTAACTGTAAGAACAATCCCAGGTATTAAAACTGTAGGTCTCTAATATAGTGCTCCTGTAAGAGGTCTGGCCTAGTGGCTGAAAATCTGAAAGACTATATTAAAGGCATGGATGTATCACTTTGATATGTACAGATATTTTCTCTCCCAGGGGAAACTCTCTTGGGAATGATTTTAACCCTGCTTGTTCCTAGGTTATTTTTCTCCTAGAGCAGCCATTTTTACAAGCCTGAGTATCAATACACTTGTGGCTTCTCCTGAAAGTGCAGCAACTCCCCCAAAAGAAACTGAATGTCTGTAGGAGGCCCTTGTAATTCGTGACCAAGGGCTCTTTGGCTGAAGCATTTGTTCATGCTTTTAAGATTATGGTAGCAAGTCACATTTGGAAGCCCTATTTTGCTTGAATAATTGCAATTTATCTCATGTAGCTTGGCATTTGGACCAGATTCCTTGGGTTGCTATGAAAGAGTGTGCAGGGTTGAGGTTTGAAGTTTATGAAGTAATTCTATGAAGTTTACTAGTGTGAATGAAACACTGGAAAAAAAAAATCCATTAAAATATGAGATACTGAGAACAGGGAGAGGTTTCCTTCCATGCTTCATATGCTGTATCTACTGCTTTGTAAATAGATTCCTTCAAACTGAAATGTTTTCCCTGATAGGAATTTGAGAGACTCTAGTCAATAAAGAATTTTCATTCAAGATAAATCAAAATAGTAAAACAGCAGCATTAACCACCTGGATTTCATTAATTAGGTGTTCCTGTCATCATCTGCAAATGAGTACATCTCTGTTTCCATTGAAATAAACAAACCTATAAAGAAGGACCTTGTCCTTGATGCTAACCAGGAAAATCTGTATGTGATGACCACGGACAAGGTATGGTAGTTGTGTTCTGTGAAAATGTCAGTTAAATGTTTATAGATGCAACTTGATCTTAGGTGTTTATAATTCACAAAGCATATAGGCCTTCATATTTGTTCTTATTTTTGCTACTTCCACATTTGCAGTCAAAGAGAACACAAAATTGCAAACAGATGCAAAATATTTCTTAAAGTGGAAAGCAGAGAAGACTCCTCTCTAGTTTGCATTCACAACAGCAGTGTAGACTGAGCTGAGGACATGGGAGACTAAAATCCCAAGCACAGTCTCCTGGTTTTGGCGTCTCCTGTAATTTCATGGCAAGTCCCAAGAATTTTGATGATATTTGGTGATATTTTTTTCCCTCAAATTCTTAGTTGGAACCAAGGTATCACGATAATTTTGAATTTCAATTTGGAAGTAGTTTCTATGCTAACTAGAAACTAACTAGTTTCCAGTACTAATGAAGAGCTTGAAAACAGTAACACACTCATACCCTCCAAGTTCAGAAACTGAGACAAATAACTCAAGAATTATTACTTTTTTAAAAATATCTCAATTCTGTGGGGGAGGGGACAAAGTTGATGATTTTATTCAGGTGATGTTAGCAATGCTGTGTTCGGGAGTTGTCACAGACCATCTGAAATGAGGTCATACTAAAGGAGCTGCATCTCCCATAGAAGGAGCAGTGAGTCTCCAAGAGACTGCCCTGTCATGTTTGGCAAGGCAACATGGAACTTCATAAAGAAAAGTGAAGGACCAACAAGTGGTAGGGAGAGAAGGCAATGCCTTCACAAGTTCAGGCTGCTTCCCCTACTTATCTTGGATCTCTGAAGCAGGCAGCAAAAACAGCATGCGTGATTCATATGTTCCTTCAGACAAACAGGGAAGCAACATTTGCACATCAATCATACTGAGGCTGCTTCCAGACCTTACTTCTGTAAAATTGTAGAATTTATCCTGAGACAGATTCCTTTAATGTCTGGCATGTTACCATTTGTCATGGGATACTAGCATATCTAAAAGAACTGCTGGAAGAGTGGGAGGTACAGAATGTTCCAAGGTAAAGGTGATGGGATGAGGAAAGGGGCTCTGCCATCAGGACCCTGAATGTGTTGCAGGGGTGCATGAAAAGAGTCGAATGTTTTGGGGAAGTAACATAAGGAATTAGGGGATTAGAAATTGCTCCCTTCCCAGTACAGGACCTCTGTGAACTTGGGATCCTGAGAGTGTTGTTGGGAATGTTATACTCCAGGCAGGGACTTTAAAATGAAAGGTAATGGAAGAAAATAAGCCACCTCAATAAAAGATAAATTATTAAGCTGTGTGGAGGAAAAATCATTCATTTTAAGGAGGCTTTAAAATTTCCCAATGGTACAATTCCAGTTTTGAATAAAAACCAAAAGTGTTAAAATTTCCCATGAAAGGGGAAATAACCTAGCCCTTGGGGGTGCTCTGCTCTAGGGCTGTGCGAAATGGCTATGTTTCATTTTGGTTTTGGATTCAGCCGTTTTGGAGGACAGTGATTCATTTCAGTGTTTCAGATCACTATTCCGTTTTGATTCATCCGAATCTGTTTCAGAGTTTTGAAGCTGTTTCGCCACTGATTCAGACGTTTGCATCAGCTGAGGAAAGGCAGGCACAGCCAAGCGGCTGCAGATTCTCCTGTGGCTTCTCTGACTCTGCCTGGAGCTCCATGGATGGGAGGAGCCCTGGGAGAAGCCCCCATGGCTGCCCTGCCTGGCCTTATCCCCAGGCTCCCAGCACTTAAATGAAAAAAAAAATAGCCCTGCACTCAACAGCTGTAGCAGCAGTGATCAGGGCCTCTGAGGGCTCGTGGCAGAGCTTCCCTGCACAACACAGGACAGTGGGGGGCAGCAGGGATTGCCCCCCTGCCTCACACCTGCGCAGCAGCTGGCTATGGTGTGGGCAGCTACCCATGGTATGGCTCGGCAGGGTGCTGCATGCTTCAGGAGGAGGCGCCCCAGGGCAGCCATGGGGGCTTCTCTCATGGCTCCTCCCACCCAGGGAAAGACAGGCACAGCTGGAGGAGCCATGGAAGAAGCCCCCATGGCTGCTCTACCTGGGCTCATCCATCTCCCGGCCCTAGCCTCCTGGCCCTTTAAAAAAAAAAAAAAAAAAAGGCCTGCACTTATTGGCTGTAACACCAGCAACCAGGACCTCTGGGAGGCTTGTGGCAGAGTCCCCCCTGCGTGGGGGGCAGCAGGGATTGTCCCCCCACTTGGCACCTGTGTGGCAGCTGTCGTATTGCGCAGGTGCAGCATGGCTCAACAGGGTGCTGAGTGCTGTCTGGGAGCTGGGGCAGCTCCACCTGTCAGCCAGAGCCCAGCACCACTCAGCCCCAGTGGCCCTAGCTCCCAGACAACATGCGGCGCCCTGCTGAACCACACTGCACCCGCACCATGGGGAAGCTGCTGCGTGGGTGCCAGGTGATCCCTGCTGCACCCCATTGCCCCATGGCTGGGCTCTGCCATGAGCCCTCAGAAGCCCTTATCGCCACTGCTACAGCTATTGAGTATGGGGCTTATGTTCCCCAAAGTACCGGGAGGCCTGGGCCGGGCTAGACATCCATGGGGGCTTGTCCCACAGCTCCTTCAGCTGTGCCTGCCTCTGCCTCAGTGGGGGGAGCCACAGGGAAAGCCCCCGTGGCTGCCCTGCCTGGCCTCAGCCTCCCGGCACTTTAAAAGGAGGGCTGTGCCAGACTCCTCCCAGGGGACATGGGCCCCCAGTCTGCATGCGGGATGACAGCAGGCTGCCATCCTTCCCCCAAAGTACTGGGATTGGAAGGGACCTCAGGGACAGATCACAGACACTGGCCAGCTAAAGATGTTATTATCAGGGCAGTCCTCTTCTCCCCACCCCCACCCCACCCCTTTTCAGATGGTTTCATTTTGTTTCATTTTGGAGATGTTTTGGACCCTTCCATTTCAGCTCCCAAAATTTCTCACAGCCCCACTCTGTTCCATGGAGGCCCTGGCATGAAACTGGCAATTTTTTTATTTTTGAAAAAAACTTTCCTAGTAAGAAGGATTCTGTCAGAACCTCACCCACTTCTGATAGAAATCAAAAGACAAAAGTAAAAAAAAAAGAAAAGAAAAGAAAAAAAAACTAACAAAGAAAAATTTGGCAGAGACTGCAGTTTTTGAATGACATGCAGCTTGGCTTTCTCATTTTTTTTTTTTTTTGTTAACTCTTCGCTTTTACCTGGGGTGCTTTCTAAATGCTTCAGGCAAAGGTAATACAGCTATTAAACACAACAGTTTAGCCTACTTTTAGACTAAATAGTAAGCAACTCTAGATCCTTCTGGATCATGGTGTATGCATAAGAGGTCACCCAGACCTACAACATGTATGCCTAGGCAGGAATATAGAGGAGTGGAAGTTGCCAGACTTTCCATCCCCGCATCCCCACTTTAGACCATTGAGACAGAATCCAAAGGCCAGACTGAGTCCAGATGTTTGGCGACATATATGCACATCCAAGAATCGAACTCAGTCATCTGCCTGATTGTATAGTTTAAGACTAAAAGTCCTAGTAGCAAAATAAATGTTATAAATGAAGGTAGAAGGATAAATATATTTGTTCTTCATTTCTTAGCATAAGGTAGTGTTATGCAAACAGATATTGGAAAATCAGAATCCAACCCAGTGTGGCAAACTTTAGGTCCACTTGTAAGGTAAACAAGCTAAGGATCCCTGACATCAGGTGTTATCCTGACTGGTAGATGCAGCATCCCCTGTCTTTTAGAATGAAGTGCTGGGTCTTATACAGTCACCACAGACAGGACATTGTGACAGAGTGAAGGCAGTTGTGCTCGGTACTGTTGTGAGGGGAAATAACTTGACCCATCTATTTAAACAAAAAAAAAATGAAATGAAGTAAAGATGAGAGGGAAGCAAACAGAGGTTACCGACACGGGGAGAAACAGTCTCCTGCTTTCTTAATTCACTTTCTCCTCCCCCTCTGTTCAGCTTCCTCTGTTGTGTAAATAAGCAGCAGGTGGTTTGGAGCCAAATGCTTTTTAAAGTCAGCCTGTTCCCACCCTATGCTCTGAGCTCATGCAGAGATTAGGAAAAACTCCTTGCATTTTCACTAGGGAGTTGGAGGAGACTTCACCACCCCTGCCCAACCTATTTTGGTTTGCTACAAGTATGCAGAAATGGTAGGGCCGCAAATTCCTTATGATAGCTACCATATTGGGAATAAAACAGCAGCCTGTGGCAGTTGCTTACCATTATTCTTGTCTTGTTTGCTTTTCAACTTTGGCGATCTCTTTGATTAAGGATGTCAGTTAGAAAATCTCTGAAATGAGCAGGTTTGCATTTTAAAGCTGAATCACACATGCTAAACCGAACAGCTATTTTTAATCTGTTCCGTTTACATAAAACTTGTAGAGACAGCATCTCCAGGGCTTGTTCTTGCATGCTGGGGTTATAAAATAAATACTTTTTCATGAGGGAGGCATCCCTTTCAATGTTAAATTACTCATCAGTATAGTACCAGTTAGTAAGAGAGTGTTCCTGGAACTTGACTCCATTCAGGTGTAGAAAATGTAAATGGTAAAGAAAGTGGAGAAAATATTTCATCTTAATAAATGCAAGAGGTTTATCAAATGCTTAATTTTTAACTGACCTTAGTATTGGTCTTTTCCTGCTAAATAAGGCCAGAATTTGGGGGTTTCAGAGCAAAAATTTTTCTGTCATTTGCTTTAACAACTTTTTTAAGTCAAATTCTTTTGAGTTATGCGTTGCCAAAGCTTTTATATTCCTCAGAAATAAGTGCAATTGTCAGCAGTGCCAGAAAAAGGAATGTCCCAATTCTTTTTTCAAGAATATTTGTGCAATTTCAGCAACACAATTATAAAAGGGGGCTCTGTATCATAGAGCACTTGTTACATAACAAAGAAAAACAAGATTGTTTGTTCCTATCACGGCAGGAAATGAAAAGCAGAGGCTGTGTGTTTGTTGGGGTATGGGTAGTGGGGATGCTATTTTCTCGTCTGCTGTTTGCTGTCACAGTTTCTTCCATTTTCCTACATAAATCTATTGTATGGTGCCAAGGGATATGAATAGAAAAATATAATACCCATGAGCATTCTAGAACTTGCATGCTTTTAAAACATGCTGAAATGCTGCCAGCTAAGAGAGCCATCTCTGGATACGTTTCCAAGCATCATATCATGGCATCAACTGTAATGGAAGGGTATTCTAGTTATCAAGAGAGCGCTGGCAGTGCCTGTCAACTAGTCCAGAGTTAGACATGCGGAAGCATCTATCTTACAATAGCTATTCTTTGAAGTAGAAAAGCTTTTTATGTCATTTCTAAAGTTTCTGCTCTGAGCAGATGTTGTAATGTAGATTTTTAGAAGTAACCTGTAGGAACTGAAAAAAGGGCCAAGGATTTTGGGGCAGCCCCTGCATATGCTTACTGCCCAAAATACTGTATTTTTCTAGACAGAAAATTGAATAAAACTTGAAATGCAAGAGTGGAAAATTGGTGTGAATATGAACTCCATACAAATCAAGAGAAGTGAGAGATCATTTTTTATATTACTGCAGTGAAATAAAATTGCTGCAGGAATGAAGGACATAGAATTGGAAGGATCGTCTATGTCTTTCCAATTCCCAGAGTGGGGCAGTTCATGTGTTTTCATGTGCCAGCATGTCTTGTGATGTCACTAGTCAACTTTTCTAGCTCCTTACTTCCTCTTCATTTACATTTAGCTGTTTTGCTTTGTTTTTTCTCCTTTGTTCTCTAGGTATGCCGGATCCCTGTGCAAGATTGTGCTAGGCACTCAACTTGTACTCAGTGCATTGATGCACAGGATCCTTACTGTGGCTGGTGTGTAATCAAAGGGAAGTAAGTATTGCTGATATTTTGTTGATGGTAGAAGCGCATTATGTAATGCGACTTTGAAGTCAGTGTTGTGATGTACAATTCTGATTGATATCGGTGCTTGGTTTGTTTTCCAAATTAATATTCTGTGCACACAAATAAGTACCTATTGACTTCTATAGATTACTCTGAGAGAGAAATTTCTTTACATCTGTTGACAATGAGCATACATCCTAGAACTACACATTTTAACAGTTGTTGAACTAGATATTCAACATTTTCCTAGAAATCAAGAGCTAGCTTTTTAAAATTCTGTTAATACAGTATGTGTGTATATATGTGTGTGTGTGTGTGTGTGTGTATGTATGTATGTATGTATATGTGTGTATATATATGTATCTACCATGTAAGATTGCAATAGAGAGAGAAAAATATAACTTAATCAAGTACTATTGTATTATAAATTAGACTCCTATGCACAATAGCTTCACTGAGTTCTGTTTATCACAGAAGTCTAGAAACTAGCATATGAATTATATCCAAAAATAAATTAATATTTAGGAAAATGTAACTTTGGAATGTGCTAAACAATATTGGAATATCTCCTGATTTTACTGTCTACACAGATAGGGGTAGTGATAGAAGACCTCAGACCTCAGAGATCTGCTTTTGGCTATTAAATTAATTAACCCCTTGGCATGACCAGTTGGGATTTCATGATGCTAAATACTTGCTGTTGGAACAAGGGGGCCATTTAATTATAGTATGCAGATGAATTTCAGACCTGTAGTTTCCTGTCAGACATTTTGAACCATCACGTTAAGCTGCCTAACTGGCTGATATGAAGTAGATCATGGAGTACTCCAGAGAGGAAGGTATGCATTACACACAGGTTTACATAGTGCATTACAGCTTTAGAAGTCTGCATTTCAATTAGAAAAAAAAATATATATATATATAAAATGTATGTGTGTGTATGTGTATACACACACATATATATAATAAAATAAAAAATCTGACGTTTTGCAATATGACTTGAACTCCTTCTAAGCTACTGGGAGTTGAAGGCTGTGTCATATATCATACAAAAGGCAATTTTCCCTAGATTTCCCTTCAGGTTTCTGATGTAACCCCCTGACATCAATATCTCAAGGATTAATGGTCTCTGAGACACAGGGAAGCATAGTTTTTGTTAGTATTTTATTTGCAAGGAAAAATATAGGACTTAAGTATTTCTAAAGTTTTAATGAATTATGCCAAATTATAGCCTGTCCTAAGCACTTCACCAATAGCGTGTACATATATATATATACACACAGGTGCTCAGACTCTGTGAACTTATATTCTGAAGGCAGTGGTAGCTTTTAGAACTTGATAGAGGTTTTATTATTTTAAAGTTCACATTTTAAAACACGTTGCAGTAACATCCAGTGGTACCAGTCAAAATTGGGACCCATTGTCCTGGACACTGCACTATAAGTTGATTAATTACACACAGATGACCCAAAGACGGCCCATTCAGCTGCTTCACCATCTATTACTGAGTCTGCCACCCTGTGGACTTGTGATCCCTCCTTTATCTGACTCCTCTCTTCCAGCTGAGATAATGGCTAAGGAAGCCTGAATGTGGACCTAATGTGAAACCTGTCAAACAGTGGCCATAATTAATGAATCCATTTGCTGGTGTAGTTAAGAACACTCTAACAGTGGAACCAGACAGACCCTCCGTCTGCTACTGCTCTGTTGCTCTGACCCTAATTGGCTAGCTGTGTGCGTCTGCTTCAGTACATACACTGAGATTTTCCACTTGAGCCTCAGAAACAGAAGAGTGGCCATACGTTAAGGAATTTTGCAGTGTTTTAAGGCACGGACAGAGCAGTTCACATTCAGATCACTCTGCTAGAGAGTCAGTTTTTTAAGCTAGTTGAGTGTTGAACATGTTTGTCTGCCTTTTAAATTGGAATGTCTTTTTCTGCATTGCACAATGAATCATAGGTAAATGTGTACACATTTAGCTTTGGCATTTAGAAGTTGTGTTATCAGTTGCTGTGTTATAATTAAAAGCTCTCAATGGTCGTATAAATGAAAACATTAAAATAAATCCCTTGTTATTTTGTCCTGTGATTTCAGAAACATGTTTATCATACTCCTGCTTTATGAAGTTGTCATTTAAATCAATGAACACTGATTCTAATCAAGTTTGCATTAGATAACTGTGATGTTGCCTCGTCTTTTATCAGGTGCACTAGAAAGATAGATTGTGAAAGGGCTAATATGAAAAACCATTGGCTCTGGAGTCCAGATGGCATATGCTTGAAGATTGCCAGTGCCCACCCTAAAAATATGAGCCGGAAAGCTCCTGATAGGGTATGAAAACATTCTTTGTCTGTATATACTTAAAACACATACAGGATTTCTATGAGTAGCGCATCTGGAAAAGGTGTATCTGTATTTGTATAAATTGGTAATTTGAAATAGTATTTGAAGAAAACAAATTCTTGTCTTTGTCCCTTCTGATGTCTAATGTTTCCAACCTGCTGTTTTTACTGGCTTCATTTTATTCCTCTCTCCAAAGTAAATATTTTTTAACCTTTCCTATAAATAAAAATGGCACGTGCTAGTTTAGCTGCTAAAATGATAATGTTTGAGCCTAGTATAGCTCTGTCTCTTATTGTGTGATTTTAATTGAAGATCATTGTTTACATTTGAAAAGCTTTTGTTAATTTACAGTAAGTGCTGTTTGAGTTTTTTAGTTCATAAAATGCATTCGTCCAAGGTGCCTCGTAAGCATATATGAAAGTGCAGTTATGTTGGACTCATTTTTTTTTAACTGAAAGGACAGTTCCTAGGAAGGTTCCACTCCCTTCCTATACCTGGATTCGGCACATTTAAGGCCTTAAGCTGCATCTTAAAAGTCAACAAATGGCTTGCCTGTATAGGAAAATTTATGTGGAATACCTACTATCTACTTCCACACTTAATCTTTTGTGTGGATATTCTTCATTTTCACCAAGAGAACTTTTATGTGGTTTAGCATACTCTACTTTCAAACCCAAATCAGATAGTACAGAGTGAGGATTTATCTATACGGGGATACCTAAGGAACAAACTAAATTAATTTGAAAATGACAAACTGACTTAGGTGAACTGTATTGAATTCTTGTATGGATGCTCTTATTCAGGCTTCTCTTATTCAGAATCAAAGTGGCCTTACTTTAGTTCCACTTTGTCACGTTGAAAATTAAATAAATATACAAATTCAGTTATATCCATTTTACTTCTGAATAGGAGATTCTACACGGCAGTTCAATTCAGTTTAACTAGTCACTTTAAATTCACAGCCATAATTAATTCAGATTAACTTTCATGAGTGTTCCTATGTAGGCAAGTGGAATTAGTTTTGAGTAATTAGTTTCTTATACGTTTACCCACTCTCTTACCCCACATTGATTTACCTTTGTAAATATGTCAAAAGTAATAGGAACACAAGAATTGCCATATTAGATTAGGACAGTGGTCAGTGTAATTCAGTGTCCCTCCTTTGATACTGGAAGTTACTAGATGCCTCTGAAGAATGTAGGAAAAACTGCAATAAGCAGTTGTGAGATAAGGTACCCCCCTTTATTTAGGGGCTGACTACCACTGGATACACGGGGAGTCGTAACCATTCCAAAATGCTGATCGGTTTAATATTTATAAATCTAATAGGTCCTCCTTTGACTAGGGGGTTGGACTAGATGACCTTCTGAGGTCCCTTCCAAGCCTAATTTTCTAGGATTCTATGATTTACTACTATGTTATTCTCAGATTTCATAGATTTCATAGACATTTGGGCTGGAAGGGACCCCAGAGGATCATCGAGTCCAGCCCCCTGCCCAAGGGCAGGAAGTCAGCAGGGATCATAGGATCCCAGCAAGATAAACATGTAAATGTTTAATTTCTTTTTTAATCCTGGTAAGATCTGGAAAAATGGGCTCTGATTGAACCAGTGACAGCAAATTGCTGAGCTACAGATATCCTGCCCGTTACGTTGATCATGGCACAAAAAACTAAGATGGTGAGAGCTCAAACTGTAGTAGTCTGTGTTGTATAAATAACGTATAAAAATCCAGATCTTCTAGTTCCACTTTTCAATTAATCTATTCTGGGATGTGCTATTGTACCCCAGTCTTTAGTTAACCAAGGCCCTGATGGCAGGGAGCTGCCATTATAAATAATACATCCAGTGTTGTGAAAGAATAATTTAAAATAAATTTCTCCCTTTACAAAATGTTAAAATTAGAATTTTGTAAAAAGAGCACAGAAGTTGCTATTTCAATTTAACTTTCTCTCTCCTGTAGTACAGCAAACCTCTCTTAATAGCTGCTTATTTACTTAATGTACAAAGGTTATAATCCCTAATAAAACCCGTCTCTGTGTGGGGGAGAAGGTGCTCTAACTAATGTATTTTATACCAATGATTATAGGGAAAAAGGGTTCAGTGAAAACTAAAAAACTTTAACAATAAAAAAACAGCACCTAACACACTAGTAACCTGGATCATCAACACGCACAGATCTCCTCCTGACGTTTTCTTCTCTTCCTTTGCTCAGTTGCTGCTTTATCTCTTTAATTTGGACAGGGGCTCTTAAAACTGTCAAAGCATTGAAATTGCTCTCTCAAGAATCTCTTTCTAAACTGTTTTATTAGCTATATGATAGCTCATTTTTCCCCTTGTGAATGGAGCCTTAACAAAGTTTTTTTGCGGGGGGGTTGGGTTCCTATTTGGCTGTTTCAAAGACCAGTTTCTTGATCCCTCCCAGCCTTTGTTGTTCTCGATCTGGGCCCTAACATTATTGCTTTTCAATTAAAATCATAAACATTTCAATCACGTCTGTATTTACTGTTGCTGACCCTGCTGCTGAGAAGCACAGAAAGGAGAGATGTGGGGTGAGAAGAGGGGATGGGACAGCCTATTTTATACAACTTTTTATACAGGTTTAATATGCTCTATATCAAAATGTATCCAATGCATCTATTTTGATACAGAGCTTATTAAACCTGTACAAAAAGTAGGGTTGATTTTTGTTTCTACCCATATTTATTCACATAGTACACACACCATTTCCTAAAACATAGATATCAGAATTGGGTTACATATCTTAAGAAAACCAATATCCAAGCAGTGTGGTTAAATGTATGTTTCAGTTTATCAGTAGGTGATTTGAGATTATAGCTTCATGTAGGCCTATTTTAATTTCCAGTTGCATACCCACAATATATCCCCATGCTTGCTGAGTCAGTCTTGTCATAGATGTAAACATATAAGATCCTAAGTGGAACAAAGTAGCTTTATGTATAAGCTGTTTTATTAAATTAGTTATTTTCAAGGACAATTTTTTTCCTTCATTCTGCCTTCTACAAGGTGCATGTAATATGCAAATAAATGCAGTATTTAATTCTCTGTGCACCAGCCTAAGAAAAGGTAAGAGGTCAAAAGAGAAGAGAAGAGGAGGTATGAAAAGGAGATTTGGAAGTTGAGATAAAGAGGAACCAAACCCCAGAATCTTTGAATAACGCTTGCTGGCTTTTTTGCCACTACAAAAATCTCACCCTAGAGCTGTCTATGACCAGAACAAAGAAAAAAAGGAAACTGAAAACATTCTGAGCAGAAGACTTGTTGGGTTTGTTTGCTTGGTTGTATGGGGGTCAGTCGGGGGTTGCTTGAGGGTTTGGAGTGTTGTTTCTCTATGTTTGTTTCAAAATAACTGCCTTTTTTGCAGATTACTGGTGTGTCTTTGTTTCTAGGTAGAACTGATTGTTAGTCCATTACCAGCTTTAACTGAGGGTGACCAGCTGTGGTGTAAATTTGGTGACACAGAGCTCCCTGCAGAGTTGAGAGAAGGGACAATTATTTGTAATCCTCCTGAAACAATTCCTCATGCATCCAGAGGTCAAGGTAAGGAATTTTGTTCTGCTTTTCATTTCTGATGAGCAAAATTATTCTTGTCTGATATTTCCATTATAATGCTCTGTTATCTATCAATGGCTTCCAAGTTTTGGTTGGTTTGTTTGTTTGTTTTATATTTCAGCCCTTCAAACTAAATATTTCTATTCTTACTGTTTTTCTCCAGTTAAATATCTTTAAAGTTGCAGTCAAAATGGTGCAGGCACATTTGTTAATGAGATTACTTGAAAAATAAGTAGACTAGTGTAAATTAATCTTTTTTATTTGTTTTTTGAAAAGCATAGTATTTCTAGTGTTTACAGAAAGAATTTGGCAGTGGGACAGTACATGAGTCGGAGAAGTGCTGTTTTCTGTTCCCACAGGGGAAAAAATATCAAAATTTGACTGAGCTGATATTTACACAAGCCCCAAAGAGCTTGTTGAGCATGTGATCCTTAATTTTCTGAACTTTTAGGTTCTCAAGCTTTAACTGCTTAATTGATGAGTCATGAGGCTGCTCTTGTTTTCCTTTCAGGCTGAGTACTAGTCCCCCTCCTTCCCCTCCTCCTCGTCCTCCTCACTCCTGCCTGCCATGTTACCCTCTGATTCCTGCTGGGGCACCCCGTGGCTTTCCTTCCCCCACTTCCCTGCCTGACTGGGCTCACCCAAAGCTAAAGTTGGTTACTAACCAGCTGTCACTGCACTTCCCATTTAAAGGATTAATCATTAACCTTTCACATTCCTGCACCATAACTTCTGAATTTAGCAATACCCCAGCACTTCAAAAATTGAAGTGTCAGATGGCTGACATGTGGTAAGGTATTAGATTATATCAAGTTCAAAAGAACATCACAGTCCTTTATCTACTGGACGCTTCACTTCCGATTAAATATTTGAAAGCAGCAGAATGTGAAGAAACTAGGGGTGTGCGAAGGGGGCTGTATTTGATTCGGATTCAGCCCAATTCACGGAACAGTGATTCGATTCTTTGATTTGGATCACTGTCCCAATTTGATTTGGCCGAATCTATATCTGAAGATTTGATTCTGATTCATAGTATCAGTGATTCAGCCATAGACACAGCTTTATATGTTTTCTTTCTACATACCTTGAGGTACCAGGCACGGCTTATGAACGCTGCAATGGTGGGGCAGGGCAGATGGAGCATCCCACAGGAACGCGGGGGGTTCCCGCATGGTCAGCAATGGATTCCTCCCCGCAGACTTCCCCAGCTCGATGATTAGCTGCAGGGGGACCCCAGGTGCCCCCCCAGACCAAGGGGGTACCAGTTGCCAAGCCAGGGGGGAAGGGGATCCCCTGCACGCTCCACAGAGTACCCGGAAGTGGACTGGAAGTGCTTCTGGTCCACTTCCAGGTCCGCTGTCAAGTGCACTGCGGCCCCCCCGTGCTCCCATGGGACACACCATCCACCCCACCGTCTCAGCTTTCACAAGCCATCTGGTACCTTGAAGTATGTAGAAAAAACATATAAATCCATGCCTATGTCCAAATTATCAAATATCTCCTAATCAAATTGGACGCTTCCGATTTGATTCAGTGAAATTAATGGGTCTCCTGATTCTATTCAGATTTGGAGATTTGGCTGCTGAATTGGGCCAAGTCTCTGCCAGATCGAATCAGTGACCAAAGCTTCACACAGCCCTAGAAGAAATGTTTCAATTCATATTGATAAAGTGGCCACAGTTTGACTCTCTATTCTTCATATGAATTGAGATTGGAAGCCTGATAGGAACAGCATCAACGTACCCAAGGCAGCTAAAAGTTAGATCCCTGAATTTGCCATAAGCAATTCCCAGTAAAAGAACTTTCAGAAAAATTAAAATGCTCAAAAGCCTCACATATGCCACAACAGAGGGCAAAGCAGTACCAATGAAAATGATTCCTACTGGCAGGTGACAGAAAGCCAAACACAACCATTTAGTATTGAGAAGCATCGTTCTGAAATAATGCATGATGTTTTAGCTCTCATAAGTTCCAAGTAGAAAAGGACGTACAAAAAACTAGAACTCTTGGTTCCAAAATAATACCTTTTATTAGACCAACTGGAAAATGGCAAGAAAATTGTCCTTTTCTGCAAGCTTTTGAGATCAAAGTCCCTTTGTCAGGCTCTGGGAAAAGTGTAGATGGTACAAGATGGTATAAAGTCCCCATAGGTAGGAAATAAACTTCATTTTTGCACAGAGGGAGCTGAAGATGGAAGGCTGCCACAAGTAGAAAAGGATGCATTCTAAATCAAAGGACATCTTTTTGTAAGTTGTATGTTATCCTAGTAATACACCATTATTAGCTGGATAGAACCAACCTGAAGTTTTCAACAGGACCCAGAAGCTGGCAAAGCTGGAGGACAGTCAAGCTGCTGGTACTTTTTCCAGAGACTATCTGAGCAAAGCAGGGTTTGAGAAAATTATTTCTACAAGAGAAACTTAGGAAAACCCTAGCTTCTAAAGATAAGTTCTCTAATGACTTGGGTTAGAAATAGATTCTGAAGGTCCAGAGCATTAGATATAACCACAAAGAGTGTAACCACAAAGAAATCTTGTTCTAATTAAGATGTAGGCACAGACTTTCATATCCCAGTGGAACAAGCAGTTTTACATACAGAAATAGCCATGCTCAAAGAAAATATTTTTAAAATACCTCATCCTTCTATCAGTTTTCTTCTGTATTCACTTATCTCATTTTCCTTATTACTTCAGGCTGTTTACAATCTTGGACTGATGGAGATACTGTTAAAAGGCATTTTTCTATTTGCAGAATATATTGTAATATTGCACAATTACCTTTTCATTTTATTCAGCCTCTCCTGTATCTTTTATTCAGCCTATTCTATACCATCAGTTGCTGAAATCTAGTGAAAGATTTCTAGTGAATCTAGTGAAAAGAACAGAGAAAATGAATCGTAATTCACCAATCTAATAATTTGGATCTCAGGATCAATCAGATATTGCAGTTCTTTCTTTCTTTTTTGCCTTGAACAAATAATAAAACCTTATTGTTGCACCATTCTTCACAAAAGCTACAGCAACTCACTTTCTTTTTTTGTTTTTTTTTTTGGTAGATCATGTATTGGTTCCTTTAAACTTAACTTTTGGAGAACATGGGATATTTTTTGCATCATCTTACTATCCTTTTTATGACTGTGAAAAAGCAGTTAATCTTTCTGAAAACCTGCCGTAAGTATTTTGGTTTAACTTCAGTAGTTTCTTCATATTATGTGTGTTCATTGGCTAATGGTTGGTTTAGTTAATGGAAATGAATTATTTTACAAAAACCTGTATTGTGTCCAGCATTCCCAGTATTCATATTTAACTTTTGCATTTCAGTGGAGCCTAAAACTGTTAAACTACACAGATCGTCTTAATTAAAGAAGAGGCACAATAGGGAATGATTTAGGAGATGCATAAGCCTTCATGAGCAACAGCTCACTTCATCAGGTGCTATAAAAGAGCATGCACAGAGCAGACTATCAAATAGAAAGTGATTTGTGTTCAAATAGTATGTTTTGGATTTATGTTCAAATTACTTTCTCAGTTTGATAGGGATTCTGTGCATGTTATTTCATAGCATCTGATGAAATTAGCTCTGACTCATGAAAGCTTATGCGTCTCTGATTCATTTAATTGGAGTCAGAGTTCCTTTTTAGACTCAAGGCTAAAAAAGGACACAGTGGCTGGGGCTGTGGGCCTGAGCCGAGCTGGCCTGCATGTGCTGCTGAGGGTGGATGCAGAGGCCATGGGGGCCAGGTCCTTCCCAGCAACTCGGGCTAGGGCCATGGGGGCTGCGCAGCCAGATTTACTCCCGGCTCCCCATGCCCAGGCTGGGTGGGGCTGTCATCGCAGTGGCTGGAGCTCTGTGACAGCCCTGCCTGGCAGCACGGGCAGAGGGCTGCCTGGGTGGGCTCGGAGGTGCCAGAGGGCTCTGAGCCTATCAGCCACCACCACACCCCCTGCCTGTGCAGCACCTGGTGGCTGCAGCCGCATCACAAGTTGCAGGCTGGCCAGGTTTGCTATTCTGCGCCCCTCATCTCAAGCTGCCACAGCTGCTGCTGCTGATTCCCCTGCTGCACTGCACCATGCTCCTCTGCTCATCACGCTGGGCGGGTAGAGCAGGTAGAAGGCAGCCAGAGCTGGAGACAGAGCTCCATGCACTGGGCTGAAGCTGAGGGACTGAAGCTTTGCCTGCAAATTAATAGTCATGCCACAAAAAGGTCCAACCACCTATAAAGTTATTGCTTGAAAATGTGTAATAACTTTATAGCTGGTTGCTATCCAGCTTTAATTTTCATGTGTAGCAGGGTTGTCCCTGCAGCTGGGAGCCCTGTCATCTGACCAGGCTGACAGCCACAGGGATGCACCATGTGTAACTGGGGCTAGGAGTCCGAGAGCTGAAATGGTGGTCAGCTGTGGACTTTGGATCCCAGCAGCTACAGGATGCAGCTGTGATCTCCCAGCCCCAGGAGTGTATAGAGTAGCTGTGGGGGTGCACAGTGCACCCCTGAGGGCTGCAATTTCCTAGCCCTAGAGGTGTTTAGGGCACCCCTATGGCTGGGAGCCACCTTCTTGCCAGTGCGGGGCAAGCACAATCCTAGACTTCCCTTGCACTAGCAATAAGGTGCAGCAGGATCTAATGCATGATCCCACAATCATGCCTCCTGGCTTGCATGTGGCATGGCAAGAGGCACAGTTGTGTAGATCACATATTAGATCCCATCATGCTTTTACCTGCACATGTAGAGGGACCTTTAATCTCATGTGGACACCGTAAAATTAATGTGGTAAAGACTTTGTAGGAAATCAGTCCACTCTCTGTGACTACTGTTGGACTTTGTCAATTGTTTTGCTAATGAAAACTGAGTCAGTAGGGACAAAAAAAAAATACAGTTTTGTCAGGATTGATCATACTATACTTGCAGATGCTATTCCTGTGCAAGCAATAGATGGAATTGCCAGTGGGATTGGAAGAAACATGTCTGTGAAGAGTCATCTTCAGAACTAGAAGTGATCAAACAAAATATGGTGAGTTTAAAATAAACAGACTTTATTTCAACACTTCCATATTTTCTCTGATTTTGCTACAAGATGAGTTGGTTTAATTTGCATTTTAAAATCTAAAAAAAATCTAAAGTTAACTTCAGAAATTATTTCTTTTAGTGACTCGGTAGGGGTGGAATGTAGAGGTGCGATAGGGAGGGGAAGCGCGATCGAATAATTTCTGAAAAGATATTTTCGTTCATTTTCCTGTTTTGCTTCAATGGAAGAAACAAGATTTGAAGGCTGGGAAGATAATCATCCACTGCTTTGACATACTTTAGTCATTTTTAGTGTGTCTAATTTGAAAGGGTGTAATCAAATCTGTCACTGTATTTTAAGCATCAGGTTCTTCAGAATAAGAACTCCATTGTCCAAAGGCTGTTGAGGTCTGTTGTGATAAAAAAAAAATATATATATATATATATATATATATATATATATATATAT